GAAATTGATGAAGACATTAGCAGTGATAAAGGTGCTCGATCACCTGCCAGTGTGCGTGGGAGGTGATGATTGGCTTTCATGCTGCATGATGCTTTCTATGTTTTGGATCGGTGCCAGTTTGAGAGTTCTGACACCTGAATATGATTGTTTCCCTGGAAGAACTGACTGATTTGATTCACCTGACTATGTAAAGATTGATGCACTGTCTAGCTGTATTTTGAATCATTGTATTATTAGTCCTGTTAATGTTAATGCCTCGTTTTTGTTCATGAGAAATGTGACATATATGAGATTAGTATGTCTAAACATTTTGCTTTCTTAGAACATTTAATTTACTTTTCTAACAGATAATTCATATGTCGAAATGTCGATCTGTTGTTCCTTCAGGTCATGTTAGGCAGTGAGATGCAATGGAATTACCAGATGCAGTGAACCTTTTGCTCCTCCATTATATCAAGAAAGATAAAAAGCCATGAATTTTTTGTTTTGACATGGATGCTGAACCGCGATGTCTAAAGTTCAAATAAGTTAAAGTATCTTGAAATTCCGAAGTTGTTCTAGAAGGGAAAATGATCAAAGAGTTCACATTGAAGACTTGTGTCGACCATTTGATTTATCATTTGCTCAAGTCGTTGATTGTACTTGCCTAATAATTAGCCCTACAAAGACAAAACACCATAAGAAGAATGGAGTGATAAGAGAAATCTCTCAATTACAAATTTTTAAATTGCAATGATACTCCAATTTAATTGCACTATAATATACCTTTAGGACTATTCAAAACGGGTCACTTCTACCCTCTATTACTTTTTTGGCTCAAATATGCTTTCGTTGTTAGGTTTTTAGATTAAATATGCTTTCCAACTAGCAAAAGAGTTCAAACATACCTTGTTACTAACGGTTGCTCTGCAACAAAAAAAATTATTTAATACTCTCTCTGACCCTAATTACTTGTCTACTTTTGAATTGACACACCAATTAAGAAAACAATTATTGATATAGTGAGTTTACCATTTTACCCCTATTAATTATGAAGTGTTTGAATTAAAAACTTAAGATTTTCAAGAAATTCTAACTTTTTCAAAGTAATTAATTAAGGGTATAATAGTAAAAATAATTTGTCTTTTTTTGACAAAATAGACAAGTAATTAAGGACAACTAAAAAAGAAAAAGTGGACAAATAATTAAGAATTTGAGCTATTCAAAATAAGACTTTTTTTTTTGGGCTCAAACTGCTGATATGCTAATTGATGAATCTCTCTTTCGTTTTATTTCGCCAAACTTTGGGATAAATTTTATTTAAATAGAAAAAGTTTGACCAAACTTTAATCTCATAGAATTCATTTTGAGAAAAAAGCATTTATTCATAGTAGTTACATTAAATTTCGTGTCCGCTTATTTATGGAAATGACACATGCCATCTCCATTGAATTCCCAGTCCCTTTTTCTCATTTTCCTTATTTGTCCTAATTGGGTCTTTGTTACCAAACTTTTAATTTAACCTAACCCTTTTGCAAAAAATAAAATAAAATCTGGAAACCTAATTTCCCGGAAGTTTACCTGAAGAGGACAATTCAATATTAAGCACTAGAGGAGTTGATTGGCCACAATTATGCAAACTCTTCGAGTCATGTAGAAGAACAAACCGCAATGAGCTGCCTTCATAATTGATCAATTGTTCCGACATCTCTCAATATATTATACTACAAGATTTTCTACATGTTGCTACGAACATTGGACTAATATTACACATCTTACCTAACTTAATAACAATAACTTTACTACGTAGACAAAAAGAAGACTTAAACAATTAATGTCACTCAAAAAATTTAAAAAAATCACTTCTTGAAATACTATACATTTTTCCCTTTATTAGGCACATTGTTGAAACTCAAACAACTTTCTCTTGTTTCTAACTATTTTACAGGAGGAATTCCGCCTTCATTTGTTAAATCTTTCTTTACTCGATACCTTTTCCGCAAGCAAGAATAATTTGTTAGGGAAAATACCTGATGAATTATGTCAATTGCTCAACTTAAAGTACTTTGTAGTGAATGAGAACAACTTGAGTGGTACCCTGCCTCCTTGTCTTTTCAATCTTTCCTCTATCATGGCCATAGATGTTGGAACAAACCATTTAGAAGGAAAATTGCCTCCATTGCTTGGTATTACTCTTCCTAATTTAGAGTTCCTTAGCATTTATTGAAACAATGTAACTGGAAATATTCCGGTAACATTTTCAAATGCTACGAATCTTCAGTCTCTTATTGCTGGTAGAAATGGACTCACAGGAAAAGTACCACCCCTTGGAAATTTGCTGAAAATGCGGAGATTTTTAGTTGCTTTCAATTATCTTGGGAAGGGGGAGGATGATGACCTTAGCTTTCTCACCACATTGGTGAATCCCACCAGCTTGGAGATTTTGGAGCTCAATACAAATAATTTTGTTGGACTCTTACCTGCATCTGTTAGTAATCTTTCGACTGAGCTTATAGAGCTTTCGTTGTCTTATAATCAGATTTCTGGAGAAATCCCAAGATGGATATCCAATCTCAAGAAGCTTCAGGCTTTCTTTGTAGCTTACAACAGATTTCACGGTGAAATTCCTTCTGAAATTGGTGATCTGATATATTTGCAAGAGCTGGCTTTACTTGGAAATCAGTTCTCTGGCCAAATTCCAATCTCATTGGGAAACTTAGCTTCTTTAACCAAACTCAGTTTAAGAGAAAACAATCTCCAGGGGAGAATTCCTTCCAGTTTAGGCAAATGCCACAATTTGGAACTGTTGGATCTTGGTTCAAATAACCTTAGTGGTTTCATACCATCAGAAATTCTTGAACTCTCATCCTTGTTGGAGGGCGTGGACCTATCTCAGAACCACTTAACTGGTTTCCTTTCAATGGAAATTGGGAAGTTGAGAAATCTAGGCTACTTAAACCTGTCTGATAACAAGTTGCAGGGCCAGATTCCTACCAGTATAGGTACTTGTGTGAAACTTGAAGCACTAGACTTAAACAACAACTTTCAGGGTAGTATTCCTTCAACCATGAATAGTTTGCAAGGCCTGGAACTTTTAGTCCTTTCTCACAACAATCTGTCAGGTGGAATCCCGGGATTCTTGAAGGACTTCAAATTTCTGCAGATTTTAAATCTGTCTAGAAATAATTTGGAAGGTGCTGTACCAACAGGAGGCATCTTTAGTAATGCTACTGTGGTTTTCATCATAGGAAATAGAAATCTCTGTGGGGGTGTACCAGATTCCGGCTTGCGTTGTAGAGGCAAAGAAAGAAAGGAAATCAGGTTTTCCCTTGAAAATAGTAATTCCTGTAGTTAGTGGGCTTATAGGATTGACATTGATAGTTTGTTTTCTTGGCATGCGGCAGTTTAGTAGATCGAGAAAAACAACACCTACAGATATACCTGAAAACTCAATCTTAAGAGTATCTTATCAGTGTCTACTTAGGGGAACTGATAGATTTTCTGCATCAAATTTGCTTGGCATGGGTGCTTTTGGATCTGTATATAAAGGAATTTCTGAACACGATGGTACGGTTTTTGCTGTTAAGGTATTGGACCTTTCACACCATGCAGTTTCCAGGAGTTTTTTAGCTGAATGTGCGGTTCTAAAGAACATTAGACATCGTAATCTTGTAAAGGTTCTAAGTGCATGCTCAGGTATTGATTATGAAGGTAATGAGTTGAAAGCCATAGTTTATGAATACATGGATAAGGGGAAGTCATTGTATGGACTTAAACAAGCTCCAAGACAGTGGAATAAGAAACTGACTGATGCTCTTATTCAGATGGGATTCACTCAAAGTCATTATGATTACTCTAGATACACATGGTTGTTTCTGCTGCAATTCAAGTCTGAAGCTATTGTTGTTCTACGAGATTTTCTTACAAGAGTAATGAATCTGTTTTCTACCACTGTTAAGGTGCTACGAACTGATAATGGTTGTGAATTTTTTAGCACTGAATTTCAACTTCTTATGTCTACTCTTGGCATTTTGCATCAAAGTTCCTGTGTCTACACCCCACAACAAAATGGGGTGGTAGAAAGAAAACACAGAACTATACTAAATGTAGCCAGGTCTCTTAGGTTTCAAGCTGGAGTACCCTTGAAGTTCTGGGGGGAATGTGTCACTACTGCTGTGTACATCATTAATAGAGTGCCCTCGAAATTGTTACATTTCAAGTCCTCTTTTGAACTTCTCTACAAACATCCTCTTTCCCTATCCCATTTAAGGGTGTTTGGGTGTTTGAGTTATGCCTCCACCACATCCATTTCAGACAAATTTGCTGCTAGAGCAATTCCTGGTGTCTTCATGGGATACTCCTCCACAAAGAAAGGCTACTCCATCTATGATCTTCAGTCCCAATCCTTCTTTGTCAGTAGAAATATAGTGTTTCATGAGTCCATATTTCCTTTCCTTCATACCAAGTCTCTTGGTTCTCCTATGTTTCCTGTTCTGCAGTTCTCTAATCTGGAAGTTCCTTCTAGTAGTCCTTCTCCAAGCCCACCACCTCCTCAGCCTATTTCTCAGCTTCCACCACAAATCTCCTCACCAGTTGAACCAAGAAAATCTACCAGAATCAGACATCCTCCCAGCTGGATGACTGATTTTGTTACTCCCTCCTCTCACACTTGTATCTATCCCATGTCCTCTTATGACTCTTATTCTCATCTTTCACAATCGTATAAACATGCCCTCCATGCCTACTCCTCTATCTCTGAACCTTCCTCTTTCCAGCAAGCTTCCTCAGATCCATCTTGGGTACAGGCTATGCAACTTGAAATAGATGCTTTAGAACTCAATCACACCTGGTGTGTTGTAGAACTTCCTCCTGGTAAGGTTCCTATTGGCTGTAAGTGGGTGTACAAGGTGAAATATAAATCTTCTGGTGAGGTGGAAAGGTACAAGGCTCGTTTAGTAGCAAAGGGTTATAGCCAGCAGGCTGGTATAGATTACTCTGAGACTTTTTCTCCTGTTGCTAAAATGGTCACTGTCAGGTCTTTAATAGCACTTGCAGCTTCCAAACAGTGGTGTATTTTTCAGATGGATGTCCATAATGCTTTTTTAAATGGTGATTTGGTGGAAGAGGTGTATATGCATATTCCTGAAGGGTTTGCCAGACAGGGGGAGTCTAAGATGGTCTGCAAACTTCATAAGTCATTGTATGGACTTAAACAAGCTCCAAGACAGTGGAATAAGAAACTGACTGATGCTCTTATTCAGATGGGATTCACTCAAAGTCATTATGATTACTCGCTGTTTACCAAGAAGTCAGGAGAAGAGTTGGTGATAATTCTAGTGTATGTAGATGACTTACTAGTTACTGGAAATAATCTGGTCTTGATCAATAAAGCAAGGGAAGATTTGAAGCTCAAATTCAAGATGAAAGATCTTGGAGAACTTAAGTTCTTCTTGGGGATTGAAGTAGCTAGATCACAAGAGGGAATCATGATATGCCAAAGAAAATATGCATTAGAGTTAGTTTCAGAAACTGGTCTGAGTGGATCAAAGCCAGTCAATGCACCACTTGAAGTTAATCAGAAATTGACTTCTGTGGAATATGACAAAAATATATCTACCAAGACAGAACACAGTGATGAAACTTTGAAAGATCCTACAGCTTATCAAAGGCTGGTTGGGAAACTCTTGTACCTAACAATGACCAGGTTGGACATAGCTTTTGCAGTTCAAGTCCTTAGCCAATACATGCATTGTCCAAAAAGATCTCATATGGAAGCTGCACTGAGAGTTGTAAGATATATCAAGGGCTCACCAGGAATGGGCTTACTGATGCCATCTCAAGCTACTAGTCAACTATTTGCCTATTGTGATTCAGACTGGGGTGCTTGTCTGGAAACAAGAAAATCTGTTACTGGGTATTTGGTGAAGTTTGGTGGAGCTGTAATCTCCTGGAAGTCCAAGAAACAGGAGACTGTGTCAAGAAGTTCAGCTGAAGCTGAGTTTAGAAGCATGGGCATGTACTGCAGAACTAACTTGGCTGATAGGGTTGTTCAGAGAATTGGGAGTGCATATTAAACAACCTATAGACCTAATGTGTGATAGTAAAGCTGCAATTCAAATAGCAGCAAATCCTATATTCCATGAAAGAACTAAACATATTGACATTGATTGTCACTTTGTAAGAGAAAGAATCACTCAAGGCATGATTAGAACTGATCATGTATCAACAGAAGAGCAACTGGCAGACATACTTACAAAAGGCTTGGGAAGATCTCAACATGAATATTTAGTAAGTAAAATTGGACTTAAGAACCTGTTTCAACCATCAACTCGAGAGGGGGTGTTAAAACAAGAGGCAAGTTGATGTAACCACAGATGAGTTAGTAGTAACTCAAGCTGTTAAGAAGTGGTTAGAAGTTAGTTAGCTAGTTAGTTAGAGTGACAGCTAAGAGGTTTACTAATTGAAGCTTAATTCAGATTGTATAAATACTATTGATGTGTAACTGATTCATTAAGTTGGATTTTATGTGAATTGAGATTCTCTTTCAGCTGCTTCTTTTTTCCTCTGCTTTGCCTCTAGAACATTCACAGCCATGAATGTTAACATGGTATCAAAGCCTCGATCTGCAAGAAGGATCGTCTAAAGCTCAGTTCATCAGTTTCAGCGTAGCAGGAAGATACATATCATGGTAATGGATGGTGTAAACACTGATCCTGCGTCTTCTTCTGTTCTAGGCACAAATCGAGCTGTGATTGATCACAATCACCCTCTGTTTCTTCATCCAAATGATACTCCAGGTAGTTCTCTTGTTTCTCTTCAGCTTACTGGATCTGCAAATTATGCTCTGTGGAGCAGATCTATGAAATTAGGTTTGCTAGGAAAGAGTAAACTAGGATTTGTGGATGGAAGACACACTAAAGATAAGTTTGATGCATCCTTACATGATCAATGGGAGAAAGTGAATGCTGTAGTGTTGTCATGGATCATGAATGCTGTGAAATCTGATCTTCTGAGCAGCATCATCTATGCTTCGAATGCTCACAAGGTATGGCTTGATTTACAGGAGAGATTTATTGGATATTTTCTATTAGTCTGTTATCAGTCAGAGGAGTTAGTTAGAGGGCAGTTTAGTCATTTACTTTCCAAGTTGATGTAGGTCAGTCATTAGTCTGTTACAGAGTCTACATATATGCTTTATGCATCGATTGTAGGTGACTACTGATATAGAATTCTAAGAATATAGTTTTCATCTCTTCATGATGTGAGCTGTTTGTTGAATGCTACGATTGTTTCTCTCAATTCTATTATGGTATCAAAGCAGAGATCGCAAACTGTTTGATTTCCGTCCGTAGAACATAGCAGTCTCGTGAGCTGAGCTTCGAGATAGATCATTGATGGCACCAGATCAGAGCAACCAGATTAGACTAGTGGCGGAGACATGTGAACCTTCAATAGATTTTCACCATCCTCTTTTTCTACAAACATCAGATACGCCGGGACTGACATTGATAGGAATCAAGCTTACCGGTCCAGAGAACTACACTCTGTGGAGTAAATCGTTGCGCCTTGTTCTGCTTGGTAAGAACAAGCTTGGTTTCGTGGATGGAACCTGTACGAAGAATCAGTACAGTGGGAGCCTCGCTAGCTTGTGGGATAGATGTAATGCAATAGTGTTATCATGGATTGGAGCAACTGTATCACCAGATCTAGTTTCGAGTATTGTCTATGCTTCAGATTCAAAGAAGGTTTGGGATGAATTCAAAGAGCGTTTTGGCAAATCCAATCTCACCAGAATCTATCAACTATGGAAGGACATTGCATCATTAACTCAAGGTACAAATTCAGTTACCGTCTATTTTTCTAGAATGAAGGATTACTGGGATGAGATAGATGCATTAGTACCCACTGCTGGCTGTAGTTGTGAGGCATCTAGACCTTCGATCGAATTGTTGAGAAATCAACGCCTGTTACAGTTTCTAATGGGCTTGAATGAGAGTTTTAGTCATGTGAGAAGTGATATACTATTGAAAACACCTGTCCTAACTGTTAATCAAGCCTATGCTCTAGTAATTCAAGAGGAAAGTCAAAGAGGTTTAGGAGTAGCAGATGGGAGTAGAGATTCCATGACTATGATGGTAGGAAGACACCAGAACCAAAGATCCAATACTACACCTCCCACTTCACATCAATACCAGATGAATCAGTATTCGAACTACAATCAGAATCAAAATTACAAATCTAGAAGGCCATTAGCACCACCTGGATCTGTTTGTGATCATTGTGGTTACAAAGGACATCTAAGGACAAACTGTTACAGATTAGTTGGGTATCCACCTGACTTCCAAAGCAAGAAAAATTTGGGATCTGCAGGTGTGCCTACTAAACCTTATGCGAGTAGTAATGTAGCTGAGGTAGAAGGGACAAATGATGTGAAGGGACAAGGGAGAAATGATATGAAGGGACAAGGGAGATACATCTCTGAGGATCATTATCAGGAGCTCATTGGAAGAGGAAACAAAGCCAGTACTTCAGGTGACTTTCAGGCTCATATGGCAGGTATTTTTGCACTATTGTCCAATGCTTTTTCACATACATGGATAATTGATTCAGGGGCATCACATCACATTACATTCGATAGAGAATGTCTAGATGAAGTGTTTAAAACAACTAGTTCAGGAGAAAATGGTGGTGTTCAAGTCCCTAATGGTGGAAGATGTGAAGTGACACACACTGGAAGTACTAAAATATTGAGAAGTCATAAATTGAAGAATGTACTTTTTGTACCAGATTTCAAGTTTAATCTCTTATTAGTTTCGAAATTGACTAGAGATCTTGGTTGTTCAGTTTCCTTTTATCCAGAATTTTGTGTTTTCCAGGATCTTTACACTGGCAGGGTCTTGGGGATTGGTAAAGAGGACAACGGACTCTATTTTTTGAAGGATGAAGCAATAGCAGCTTGTCTAGCAGGATCAACAGATCAGGAAGCAGAAGATGATAGTATCTGGCACAAGAGATTGGGACACCCATCTAAGAGTGTCTTCGATCTCATACCAGTAGTTATGACAAATACTAATGCACATAAGCCTTGTGAAATATGTCCATTGGCTAAGCAGACTAGATTCAAATTTCCTGTTAGTAACAGTCACTCTACTGCCATATTTCAGTTGATTCATATAGATGTTTGGGGTCCTTATAAAGTTCCCACTTATGATAAGAAGCATTATTTTGTTACTATAGTTGATGATCATAGTAGATACACTTGGCTTTGTTTGGTGCAACATAAATCTGAAGTCATTGTTGTATTGAAAGATTTCTTACTGAAGGTGCACAATCAGTTTGGTGTTACAGTTAAAGTGTTAAGATCAGATAATGGTAAAGAATTTTTTAATTCCCAATGTTCAGAGTTATTTTCTTCATTAGGAATTGTCCATCAAAGCTCATGTGCATATACACCCCAACAGAATGGGGTGGTTGAGAGAAAGCATAGACACATTTTAGAAGTGGCTAGATCCCTAAAGTTACAAAGCTCCGTTCCAAATAGATTTTGGGGTGATTGTGTGAGAACTGATGTGTACTTAATAAATAAGTTACCTACTCCAGTGCTACAAGGTAAGACACCTTATGAGATGTTATACCATAAACCACCTGCTTATGATCATTTGAGGGTCTTTGGCTGTTTGTGTTTTGCTTCTACTTTGCCTAAAGGGACTAAGTTTGAGGCCAGAGCTAGAAGAACTGTTCTGATTGGTTATTCAGAAACACAAAAAGGTTACAAGTTATTTGATTTAGAATCAGGTACTTGCTTAGTGAGTAGAGATGTGTTGTTCAGAGAAGACAATTTTCCTTTTAAGAGCTCACGGGGAGAAGATGAGGATGTATTTGGAGTGCACATGCCTGAGATGGTTACTCCAGAAGACGAGGATGTATTTGGAGTGCACTTGCCTGAGATGGTTACTCCTCCCTCATTAGAGATACCGGCGTATTTGCCTCCGACTTCACTCCCTAACATGCCATCTGCAGGTGATGATGTTCAGTTCCCTAGCATGAATGTTGATCCTTATCCTGAGCCACCAGCTGACATTGAAAAACTCAGGAGAACTGGAAGAAGTGTCAATCCTCCTATTTGGTTGAAAGATTATGTCACAGGAAAGAAATCTGCATCTTCTTCATTATATTCTATAGACAAGGTACTTTCTTATGATAGGTTGTCCGCTGCCTACAAGGCTTCTATACATGCTTTTTCAACTCATGTTGAGCCCAAAAGCTTCAAGGAGGCAGCATGTGATCCAAATTGGGTGAATGCAATGCAACTGGAGATTCAAGCATTAAAAGACAATCACACATGGGATTTAGTTTCCTTGCCTGTTGGTGTTCATGCTATTGGCTCAAAATGGGTTTTTAAAATCAAATACAAGGCAAATGGTGACATTGAAAGGTACAAGGCTAGGTTGGTAGCCAAAGGTTACAGTCAACTCGAAGGGCTGGATTATCACGACACATTCTCACCAGTGGCCAAGATGGTCACTGTGAGGACTGTCATTGGAATTGCAGCTGTTAAGAATTGGGATTTATTTCACATGGATGTCAATAATGCATTCCTTCATGGAGATCTTTATGAGGATGTGTACATGCAGTTACCTCAAGGCTTTCATCGACAAGGAGAACCATTGGTGTGTAAGCTCAAAAAGTCCCTATATGGTCTTAATCAAGCATCACGACAATGGAATATAAACTCACTGATGCCCTGGTGAAAGGAGGTTATTGCCAAAGTTCCTATGACCATTCCTTATTCACACAAGTGTCAGGTTCAGACATTGTTGTGATATTGGTGTATGTGGATGATTTGCTCATCACAGGTAGTAGTCTCACATTAATTCAACTTGCCAAGGACACCTTGCACAAGGCATTCAAGGTGAAGGATCTCGGCCAACTAAGATATTTCTTAGGCATTGAGATACTTAGATCACAGAAAGGGATACTTTTGAATCAGAGAAAATATGTTCTAGAACTCATTTCAGATGTGGGATTAAGTGGTAGTAAACCTGCTATAACTCCTTTGGAGATGAACAGAAAACTCACCACAGTGGAGTATGATGCAACAGTAGGAGTTTCTGATGATCCTGAGCTAGAAGATATTTTAAGCTTTCAAAAACTCACTGGGAAGTTGTTGTATGTGACAATCACTAGACCTGATATTTGTTTTGCAGTTCAGGTACTCAGTCAATTTATGCAAAGGCCTAAATATTCTCATATGGACAGTGCTTTGAGGATAGTGAGATATCTGAAGGGTGCTCCTGGTTTAGGGATTCTTCTTTCCCCTGGCGACATCACTAGTATGACTGCATATTGCGATGCTGATTGGG